GCGGAGTGACAGAATGCCCTGTCACCACCCTTTCGGTTTCTCAGCAGGGGGGCAGAGAGGACTTGCAAAGCTCTGCCCAACGAAGCTCTTTGCAAGCTCCTAGGATACGGAGTCTGATCAACTCCGCGTACCTGCGCAACTCGTGTGATTCAAAGTCCTTTTGGCCCGTTGTTTCTCTCGCTGTGTGTGCTTCATGTTGAACCTTGTAACGTTTTCGCAGCTAGACGGAAACCAAGTGACTGCAAGCCGAACTTTTACCCACTCGAGACTCATCAGTTGTACTCGAGACTCATCAGTTGTACTCGAGACTCATCAGTTGTACTCGAAAGATTAGCACTCTCCATTTGGAGTTTAAGTGTGTACACCCCATTCGTGGGGAATCCTCGGGTGTACCCATTGTGTGACCCCGGGCCGGCTCTGTCGGAAAATTTGACCTCAACGTGCTTATCATAGAACAGCGGAATTTCACATTTAACCAGGAACGAGGTCTCACTAGAAGAGTGACAGTCGATTGTGTACCTATGTCTCGACGTGATGATCGTGATAGATCCAGGACTCGGCGCAGACGTGATCGGAGCACTTCTCCTCAGGCTCGTAAAGCACACCGACGTGAACACAATGACCACCACGTCTCGGAAGGCATGGATTGGAACAACCTGGTATCTTGGCAGCACAATTCCGGCTACAACTCTGCCAACAATTTCCCGATGATGCCCACCAATTTTCAATCGACTCACAGCCCCACACAGCAATTCCAACACCCAGCGATCAACTACATGATGCCGATCCCTCCAGATCCCACGCCAACGAAGTTCATGCCACCCGTGATGCCACCACCGGTCACTACTCCGCAACCTACACCGCCACCTGGACCTCCTGCGGCTCTACCGGTTCGCCCTCAGAAAGCCTGGCTTACACCATCGCCTGACTGGACACCTGGAGATGGCATGTTTGATGTCAATCAGCTCTACAACTTTAGCCTGCCCATGACCGTTGCCAACACTCCGCATGGCAACCTGCGCGACATGTCAGGCATGGATATTCGTGACGTTCGCCTGGTTCAGGTTATTCATGGGGGCCTCACCAACTGGCTGCTCCGACCGTTCGCTCACGGCAGATTCGTGACGTGGGAAGGCTTTCGCACTCGCACCGAGGCCTTACTTTGGAGTACCTGTTCCAAACTACTACGACGATCACAGTCGATCAACCTGCTCACCCTGGAAAAGGACCTTGCCAACTCGCTGGGTCTCAACATCGATGACTTCAATCAGCGGATCAAGGTTCATGACCATTTGGCCAGCTTGGTACTTCAATTTCTTCAGCAACATCACACCTCTCTCACACCTTCCACCCAGACAGATGACATGGTCAAGAAGTACAATGATCTAAATCGTGCGCATGAGCTGCTCCAGGCTCAGTATTCAGCATCGCTGCGCGCTTCGACGTCTCCCACGATGGCAAGCCAGAAAGATGATGCAGAGTTGGTTACACCGCCACCGGTCAACCACACAACATCCTCGTCACCTGCCAGCTCCCTTCCTACAGCCAGCGCAGCGGCCCTTGATGGCAAGTCGTTTGATAGCGCGGCGCAACCCCGGATCATTCAGTCTCTTCACGGAGTGTCGTCACCGCCGTCCAAGCCGGCGGCGTCACAATTGCTCACCATGCACAGCACGCCGGAAGAAGTTGTCAAGTACTACACATGGACCAGTGACCAGCCTCGCCTTTATCTCAAGCAATCGCCCACAACCACGACTTTGACGTCACTGGTCAAGTGGGCCAATCACCCGTCCCGGCTCAACGGCAACAAGTCATTAGATTCCATGGCGACGCAGCTCCTTCAAGCGCGTCAACGCATGCCGAAAGGCGACGCACCTACCCTCGGGGCGATGGCGGCTTCGTGGGGACTGGAGCCCGGCTATCTCGCCAAGCTCACTGAGAAGGCATTGAGTCACCTCATCGTGACCGCTCGCCTACTCAGCGGGTGAGCAGGCATCTTAACGACCTTCGTTCTCTTATGAGCCCGGAGCGGCAACCGTGTCACGGATGAGTCAAGGTTAAAACTCGTCCGTCATCTTTCTGCGTTGCACCAGTTTGATCTTGTGCTTGATTGTTCTTGCATTGCCTTGTGTGTGATTGTCTGTGCAGCTTGTATCCATGTCGCCGCCTTATGGTAGATTTCATTGGTTGCATTTTCACCATGTTGGATGAGCTTCGCCGCTGTGGAATCTATGATGATGTTGCACAATGGCAGTCTCTGGACAACTTTTTACACTCGTTGACCATGTTCTCTACGTGCTGGCAATACTGCTTCCCTGGACTACCACCACCGTCGATACCAGCTGATGAGTACGAATCAATCACACAACTACCGTGGTTGAGCCTCATTCTCGAAGTCTTAGTTGTGGTCCGGATTGCCCTTCAGATTCCGGATCACGCTATGTCACACTCTCAACACACTGTGGCCAACAGGTATGAGATTCATAGATGTCGGTGCACTGCCTATTTATTGATCAGTTCCTTACAACGTCTCATTTCCCAAGATCAGGCTACTTTCCGCCGTTCTTTGAAGTCCTTCACTTCTACAAGGCTTCTCTCTTGTGTGAAATCATGCACTCCACTTTTGCCGACACGCGACATCTTCGCTCATTGCGGGCACGATTTCCGGACCTCTATGACTTCATTCACGATCCAGGTCATCATCAACAACCGTGCGTCTACATCCGACTTTCCCCATGGCACACACCTTACTACGTTGGTGCGACTGATCAGGATGTTCTACGACGTGAACACTCACGCAGTCGCAAATTTCTACAACTACTTCGGGGACGTCATGCCTTCTTCGAACCCGCGCTTCACTACTGGAAGCGATCCAATACTTACTGGCTCTTCTGTGCTGTTCCGGTTGAGATCAAACTTCCCGTTTCCTCGGTTTGGGTCCAGGAAAGCAAATGGCAATACCTGCTACGCCCGCATTTGAATGCACCCTGGGTACACAGACTTCTGCGAAAGGTGGGCTTCCGGGAACACCTCGTTGATTTTCGACGTCACTCGTTGTCGTCTCCCACTTCCCTCGGCTTGCACAAACGCTTTCGACGACGACTACATCCGGATCTCCAACGGCAACTACGACCCGACATGCTGGATGACATTCAGGCCCATTACTCTATTCTCTATCAGCTGGGATCCAATACAGGAGCATCGTTCCAAGCCATGCGTGACCTTCTGTCGGCAGCTTTCCCTCCTACTCAGCTTTACTACTTTCTGCGGCTCTCCGTCTTTGTCAACGAGCCCTTCCGCTCCAAGGCGCAGAAACTCCTCGCCCAGGTGTTACGCAAACGACAGCTACAACCACCCACCACTTTGACACAACTACTCCTACCGCCTCTACATGT